CGTTAATTTATGTAACAAGTAACCGAGCAAAATAGATTATCCCGTAACAAATCGATCTACGTGAGAAAATAATTAATTAATTAATTAATTAATTAATTAATTGTGATAACAAAATAAAGAAAAAAAAAAAGGAGAGAAAAGAGAAAGATTTCGAGGAAGTAAAAAATACTTAATTAAATCACGTTACCACGGTACGTACACGTTAATAAATTTCGAACGAATGTAATAATAAACGTATCATGGAGTGCATAATTTATTACGAAGGATTCAAATATATATATATATTGTCAATTTTCTCATAATTCTCATTGTATATAAATTTAATATGTATACGTATATAATAATGAGCCGTTTATTTTGAAAGTGGCATAAGTCACTTTTCTTTTTTTTTTGTATTTAAAATGAAAAGATATCGTGCAATTGTAATTAGTGTTACCATTAACTCGATTTTTTTGAAAAACTGACTTATGCCACTTTCAAAATAAATTGCTCATTATTATATATATACGCGTATGTGTATATTTATTATATTATATATTATACATTATATATGAAAATATGTGTGTGTATAAATAAACCTAAGAAAATATTTGTTAAATAGGACACTTGTATTTTTTCTTCCCCTTTTTTTTTTTTTCTTTTTCTATCTATACAAAAATACGTTCGTTCATTCTAATGAAATAAGAGTTGAAGGAAAATTTCATGATGACCGAGAGTTCCAATTTAAAGCATCGATTTCCGTTTTTTCTCAGTTAACTCGAGCCATCCCTCTTAATCTATTCTATACTACTATTTCCTCCTCCCCCTCCTCCTACTCCTCCTCTCTACCATCACCCCCTTTCCTACTCTTCTTCCTTCCTTTCTCGTCTCGTTTTTGTCGGTCAAGATTTTTCAACTTTCTCATTCAGTAAAGTCGACCCCCTGTAGGCATTTGCCGTCAATGTGTTGGTGATGGTGATGGTGATGGTGATGATGACAACGAAAACTATATGACAACTACAACGACACGATGAATCTTCAAATACATTTTTCCTTAGGTTTATCAAGCGAACAGTAAAGAGCCTACCTTATCCTATCTTATCCAACCACCCCTTTTCCCCTCGCACCCCCAACCCATCCCCCTGTCACTTTTTTCCGAACCAGTCGCTTTTTACGTGAACTACCACGAAAGAAAAAAAGAAAAGTAAGAGAGTCAGATAGACGGAGAAAGAGAGAAAGAAGGAAGGGGGAGAGGTGGGGTGAGGAGGGGGGGAGAGGGTGTGGGAGATCGAGCATACCGGTACTCATTTCGCGAAGAGGTAAAGTGGTGCGCGCGGCCGACCTCGATATTTCTTTTTTTCCGCCATTCTGAAGAAAACTAAAAAAGGCGCCATGAATTACGAGAAAAAGAAAGAGAGAGAGAGAGAGAGAGAGAGAAAGAGAGAAGAAGACTGAATGTATATGAACGAAAAAGAAAAAAGATATGGAAGGAGATAGTCGAAAGAAAGCACCACAGCTTTCGAGTACTCACAGTTTTGTGAAAAGAGAGAAAGAGAGAGAGAGAGAGAGAGAGAGAGAGAGAGAGAGAGAGAGAGACCAAGTTCTACTTCGTCGAGATTTGTGTCTTTGCGAAGAGAAGACGCTAACGAAGAAGATGATGAAGAAGAAGAAGAAAATAGAAAAAGGAAAAGGAAAAAAACAAACAAAAAAATAGAGAGAGAGAGAGAGAGAGAAAAAGAAACCGGAGTAGAAGTAATGAATACTACATTCCCCATTCCCATTCCCTTTTTTTTTTCTGCAATATCATGTCTACGTTTAAAAGAAACAATAAAAGGACTGGAAGATAATAAACGAAACGTTGTAACAAAACTGTGTAAGATTATTAATCTGATTAAGATGATCTTGTTAATATAAGAATGATCGATTATTATTATTGCAAATTTTAAAAAGAGAAAAAATATAAAAATAATGCATAAAGTGTATGCATGGATTAATGCATTGATTAAATATTTATTTGTTTTTTTTTATATATATATATATATTGTATATATATGAAAGTGATGATGCATTTTAATTTGTAGAAATATAAATTATTAAACTAGTGTATTTGATATCGATAATAATTAATATTATTAATAATTAAAATAAAGAGAAAATATTGAATACAACGATGAAACAAAGTACACAAAAATACGCACGAATATTATATATAACATTATTATAAAAATGATGATGCAAAAATATTTGAATTTATAAAAATTTGTAAACGCACGTACGTACGTAATACACGTATATATAAAACTTCTGCATTTCTTACGTGCACGATATTGAATGGGAAAAAAAAAAGATTGAATACTCGTTGGAATGAAAAGAAATACTGCAGAGGCAGGCAAACATTGAAGCGCGAAATGGTGGTGGTGGTGGTGGTGGTGGAGGGGAGGTGGAAAAAAAAAAAATGATACCGACGAGTTTTCCTCGTTTTCTCACGTGTTAAATTTCTTTAATTTCACCTACTCGAGATACGTCAGAGTTTGTAAATTTTAAACTGGGTCAACCCTATGTATAATAAAATGTTACAGAGAAGACGAGAACGAAAGATTTTGCTTGGTTTTTTTTTTTTGTTGTTTTTTTTTTTTTTTTTTTTTTTGTACTAACTTTCTCGTACAAATATATTTATAAATGTTTCCCCACAAAGAGAACGAGATCTTTTTTTACGACGACATAAACTAAAGTAAATAACGAAGAAATATATAAATAAAAGAAAGAGATAGAGAAAGAGAAATAGAAAGAGAAAGAGAGAGAGAGAGAATAAAGAATTAACTTGTCATTAATTATACCGATGAATCCGCAAAAGTGGTTCGTTGATACGATGAAATGGAAAGAAGAAATGAATAAGCTTTGAGATGAGAAACAGAATCGAAAATAGAAAAAGAGAGTGAGAGAGAGAGAGAGAGAATACACATAGTTGAAGAAAAACGACCGAACTCTTCCACGGACAGTGATTAATTTTTCTAGTAAACTATTAATTAACGTCAAGAAAAGTCGTAGATGAAGAAAAAGGAAAATAAAAAAGGAAGAAAACGTAACTACCCCAACGTTAATATTGAAATACTAAACAAAAAAAAATAAAAAACCGAGAACACTATTTACCGTAACTGCATTTCATTGTTTAAAAAAGTATCTGTTTTTTGTTGTCGTCGCTTTTTTTTTCTATATATTTAGAAAACAAAGAGAGATAGTGTAAAATGTAATGGAATAATACTTTTTAATATGCTACATTCTCTCTTTTTCTCAATATTTCTCATCCCTCTCCCTCTCTCTTTCTCTATTTCTGTTTCATTGTTGTTCTCTTTATCCCACCATCTATCTATCCTTGTCTCGAAAAGTAAATAAGCGATAGTACGATTCTACTACCACTACCATCACTACCACCACCACCACCACTACCACCACTATAGCATAAAACGCGAATGACTTCGTGTTCGAAAAAGGACGTAAATCACAACGGGCAGCGAGCAAAATTCAACGTGGATTTACGAGTCGCTAGACCATTTATTTTTCATATTACGCGAAAATCGTGAAATCCTATATCGCCTCGACGTAACGAGTTATACGATGCCCCTTCTCTCTACATTCTTTTTATTCTTTTTTTTTTTTTTTTTTTTTTTTTTTTCATCTTTTTTTTACCTTTTTTTTTTTTTTTTTTTTTTTTTTTCTGGAGACATTATAAATATTAAAGAAATATTGATAAATAAAACACAATTTTACTTTTGTAACGTATAATTCATTTGAGTTTTGATTAATTATACGAGAAAAACAAAATGAGCAATCGGATACTTTTAAACGTCGTATATATTTTATCAACGTATTTAAAACAAAATTATAATTTAAAATGTTAACATTTATTAATAATAATAATTGAAACAAAATAATATATTATAAATTGAAACATATATATATTTACTGTAGGATAAATATATTGAATTATTTTCTTCTCTTAAAACGAAGATATTTCATTACGTTAATTATTAATATGTCATTCTATTTTTTTGTATACTTTAATAATATAATATAATTATCGAGTTTTCTATATAAAATAATCTAATTATTTTTGTCTATTATATATACAAGCAACATTGGATGCTTTATATAAACATTTAAATATAAAATTTAATTCTTTCATAAGTCAAACACACTCACACACACACACATACGCGATTTTCAATTATATTAAAATGAAAATTAGCAAATGAAATTCTTTTCTAAGGTAACATTTTTCAACCGAATTTCGTATATATATAAAAAGAAAAAAAATTACAAAAGTAAAATAACAATTCATATTATATATTATTACTACATATATAAAGGGAATATGCGTAAAAAAAAAAAAATAAAACAAAAAAACAAAAAATAAAAACGAAGAAATCGTCGATAAAATAAGAAAGATAGGTGAAAGATTTATCGAATATGTGAAATTTTCTAAAGTATAAAGTAAAGCCCTTGGGAGGGCCATCTTGTCTAACGTCACATTTTATCCAACAAGAGTTTCTTCATCCAGACCTTTATCGGGTTTGCAGTTGGGAAGACGTGTACGAAAAAAGAAAAAAAGAAGAAGAAAAATACAAATAAAAATAAATGCAGACACTTATATATATATATATATATACTTTTCAAGAAAAAGGTTTTCTCTCCCAGTGAACGTGTATCTCATACTGCATTACAACTACGGTTGAAGGTCAGACGAGAAGTAAACCGCAAAGAAGTCGTAGAAAGGTCTGTTAAAAGCGGGTTTCACCAAGAAATACGATATTATCGAGTATCTCCAAACGAATTAGGGTCTTAAAACGAAGCAGTGTAAAATAATACACAAGATCCCACATATATACTAAGCGTGTAAATACAAGCTTATACCATATATTACTTAACTTAAACCGCATCTAAACATAAGAAATTATGTTCGTAGGTACTCCTAAAAATCGATAGTCACCACAAAACATAAATATAATAAATTTAATACTTGCTTCTCGCAGAATCTTTTTATGTGTACGATGTGTTTTTTCTTTGAAAAGCTGCATTAAAGTTGCGTTAGTATTTAATCCAAGATTTTTGGTATATCCCCATATAGATTTGATATTTTAATCAAATATTTTTTAAAACACTTCACACACACGTCAAACACTTAAAACACACACGTAACACAAGTAAACACACGCGTGAATGCACACGTCACGAATATTAAAATATTAATACCGTAATTATTATAACAATGCGTAAAATATTTAAAATCAAATGAGCGAATCTCATTTATGTTTATCTCCGACGAAAGCTCGTTTACGACTAACATCTCGGCACGAGTTCAACCTTCTCCAAAACTTTCACCTCTTCCCCGTGCGTACTTTTATTTACATCTTATTTATAAGTTTCGATATCACGCGATTTTCACATGATAGTAAAATATTACGATAAGTAAACAAGTTAGAACATATATATTTTCCTTCTCTCTCTCTCTCTCTCTCCCTCTCTCTCTCTCTCTCTCTCACTCTCTTTCTTTCTTTTTTTCTCCTTTTCGTTTCTTTTTTCTCTCGCACTCATTCCGTTTCTTTTTCTTTCTCTTATTTTCACCTATACATTTTTATTCTCATTTTCTCTCTCTTTCTCAATTATTCCTTTCTCTTCTTATTCTTACACTCTCGCATCAGTTTTTCTATTTCTCTCATTCTTTTATTCTTTATTTCTCTATTTTTTTTTTTATTTATTATTTAAATTATTCCTTATTTTCCAGTATAATAAAACTCGTGACTCAATGCGATAGTAAAAAATATAAAAATAATTGAGGAAACATGTGTGAAATAGAAAATAAAGGAGAAGACAAATTTGAAAAAATAAAAAGAAAGAGAGAGAGGAAACGAATGGAATGGTGAAAAAGAACGTTCAACGATTAAAAAACAAAACAAGAAAAAAAAAAAAAAGAAAAAGTCAAAAATAAATTTCTGATTTATTCGAAATCCACACGGACCCATAGATCTTTTCCTTTTTATTTTTTTTTTTTTTATCTCTTTAATTCTTCTTCATATTTTTCTTTTTCTTCTTCTTCTTCTTCTTATTCTTCGTCATCTCTTACATTTCGTAACGTCGAATTTTAATTACGCTAAGCGAAACGCTATTTCATAAAAGGAGAGCTTCAAAAGCTGTGACTGGCAGTTTAAGGGCTTTTCACGTCCTTCTACTTGTCATCGCCGTCGAAAAAGTCTGGCAACTTCGTTAGAACTTTCCTTATCGTCTATTTTCATTTTTTTTTCTTTTCTTTTTCTGTTTTTTTTTTTTCTTTTTTTTTCATTCTTCCTTCTTTCGTCTCTTTTTTTCATATTCTTCTCTCTCTCTCTCTCTCTCTCTCTCTAATGTAACAACCAAAAGAATTTTCAAACGATCGACAAAGGAAGCCACGAAATTAGCAAACTATTAATTTTCAAAGTTAAACTTGTTATACGTTAATCTTGTATTAAGAAATATAATAATAAAAATAAAATAAAGAATGAAAAATAGCAGCGACATGAATTGCAATCAAATCGAAAAGATTCTTTTCTTTATTTTTCTCTTTTTTATCTTTCCAACAATACGTTGTTTATCATGTTTGTAAGTAATTTTACAAATTTCTTATCGTAGTTACCGAAATATGTGGATATATACGTCTGTCTATTTTAAATTTATTCGATGTCAAAACTTTTCTCAAATATATTTCCGATTGAATGAATTACAAAGTATATATATATATATATATATATATATATATACTTTGAAAGAAGGAAAGAGAGAGAAATCTACAGATCGATAGAAAGAAATAAAAAGAATAAGAAAAAGAAAGAGAGAGAGAGAGAGAGAGAGAGAGAGAGAGATTTATTCTTTCGAAATAAAAATAGCTACTACAGAAAATGATGAATCGAAAAGATCGACGAAATGTCACTTTTTCTCTTCCCCTATTTCTTGTTAGATGTCAAAAGAGAAGAAATGTCCTTGGATATATCCGTCATTTTTCGAATTATGAGAATTGGTGAAAAAAACTTTAGCGAGCTATTTAATGAGAATATTAATCCTGGAATATAAAATCTAATAATTTATTTAACTAGTACAAATCTCAGGATTCGACGTATGCATAGAAGTTTAAGTGGTATAAGTCAAGAATTCACATAGTCGGACATTTAAGTGGTATAAATCAAGATCTCACGTAATCATACATTTAATAGTACAAGTTAATTAAATTATATGGTCAGATGTTCAAGTAATAAAAATCATATATTTATATGTATAATACAATCAGACATCTTCTTAAAATAAAATATAACAATAATATAACAAAAATATCCACGATTTAAATGTTTTACTCGTTGCTTTTACAAAGTGCAACAAAAAATAAAATAGAATCAAGTATAAAATAAAAATAAAACTACAATAAAATAAGATAAAGTAAAGAACGAAAAAAAAAATATAAAACGAAGAAAGAAAGGAAGAAAAAAATAAAAACAATATAAAAAGAAGGTAAATGAGTAAGAAGAAAAATCAAAGGGAAAGAGATAGATAAGGGGACAAATAAACGAAGAAGAAAGAAAAAATTCCTAGGTGAAAAATTCGCGGCAACCGAACGCGACGAAGCTTTTCTTTCTCTCTCTTTCTTTCTCTCTCTCTCTCTCTCTTTCATTTTCCCTATCATTATCATTCATTAACGGTTACTATATTTCCATGACTTTTCACCCTTTTGTATCGAGGAACGAGCGCGCACCTGATAATGCACGCAAGAAGCGCACCGAGGACTATTACGAAAAGAAAAAAAAAAAAGAAAAAGGGACAAAAAAGAGGGGGGAGGGGGATGGGGTTGAAAAAAAAGTATCCCAGTTGAAAAATGTTCCGCGAAACGATCCCTCAGCGAGAGTCAACAATAGGTATTTACTTTAACGGTGGGTTACCGCTGGCGTACACATCGAGTGCCTGCCAGGCACCACTCCTGATGCTTTTTTTTTTGTCCTTATACGTTTTTCACCCTGGTTAGTATGTGTGTGTGTGTTTGTGTGTGTGTGTGTGGGCGCTCCGGTGTTTTTGTTTTTTTTTTGTAACTTCACCCAACGGCCCATCAATCACTCGATAATGGCAGCCTCTCTGTTTTTATTCCTACCTATATATATATACACATATATATTTATATATATATATATATTTGTGTGTGTGTGTGTATGTGTTTGTATACTTTCATCTCTCGAGGTACAGTTCACTGTTTCTATCTCTCTCAGTTTCATCATGACCAGAAAATTCACCCTCTTCTTCGTCACAATCATCCCCCTCTCTCCCCCTCTCTCCCCCCTCCCCCTCTACTCTTCTCTCTTTCCCTTTTTTTTTCTTGTCTTCTTTCGTACCTATCATCGTACCTGTTTTTAGTCTCTAATATTCTTTTCCTTTATCGTATGTTTTTCTACACGTGCAACAAATTGAATACACATTCAAAACGAACAAAATATCTTTCTCTATTAGCTGGTATTAATCGGTTCTCGGTTTAACAGAGTAAACGCAAAAAACATAAAACAAAACAGATATAAAAGGAGGAAAAGAAAGAGAGAGAGAGGGAGGGGGTTTAAATAAAAAGAATAAAAAGTAGGAAAAGGAAATTTCGTCTTTAGAGACTTGATATCAAAAACTGGACGTTCGACGAAACGTTGAATAATGCAACGAACCTAAAAAAGGGCGACCGTGTCTAATGATCCATCAACTCTACCACTACCAACGTCGATCAACGTCGGGTGGGGCTTGGTTTTTCTTTTTTTTTTTTTTTTTTTTTTTTTTTTTTTTTCTTTTTTTTTTTTTTTTTTTTTTTTTTTTTTTTTTTTTTCTTTTTTCTTTTCCTTGTTTCTCTTTTTTTCTTTTCTTTTTCATTATTTTTACACTCGATTAGATTCAGACGTTTTCATATAATATAAATTGTTCCATCATAATAATATAATGGGATATTAGAATATATTTGTGTAACAATCGATATAATTTTTAAATAATAGAATAATTTTTTGTTTATTATCGTTTAGATTTTTGTTTTGTTTGTTTGTAACATCGACAAAGAGATATTATTTGCATTGATAAAAGAGAGAGTGATAATCTCGTTCGCAGATTAGAATAATAATAATTCGTAATGTTAATATAATAAATTTATTTATCCAAATATTTGTCTAATATTATTACTAAGTTCAATCTTAGGGATATTTTTTTTTGGACAGGTTTAAATTGGATGAACAATCTATTTATCAGTTGAACGTTTCGTCCCTATATTTGGGACTTCCTCAGCAACTAAATGTCATAATAAAAAATTTTTAAATAAAAATTATCTTATTTTTTTATTTTAAAAAGAAAAAATATCCCTAAGATTGAACTTAGTAATAATAATTCGTAATATTCGATTTCCTTTACGACATATATTTGAACGTTAATAATATTTAAATATACGTGAGAGATAGTAATGGACAAAATAAAATAAGAGGATAACGAAATTTGACAAATAATATTATCATTTATTCGTGGAGAAAAAATCTAGTAATAATGTGACGAAATTGGGACTACCTTTCGAGATACGTACAATGCGAATGAGATATGATATGGGAAAGAAAAAAGAAAGAGATTGAACGAAGTCTCCCTGTAATTTAAAATGAAACGCGTAATAAAAGCGAAAAAAAAAATGAGAAAAAGAATGAAAGTGAGACAGAGAGATGGTGAGATAGGGTATAAGAGAGGGTGTGTGTGAGAGAGAAAAAGAAAGAGACAAACGAGTATAGTTGTGAAGTCAGAAACGACGCGACGACGGTGCTTCCATAATTTGCATTTTATTTCTCGGACTCGGAGGACAGAAAATTTTTAATTAAAACGCATGCGCGTTACGATGTAATATCATATACGATCTACACTTAAATATATAAATATATATATATATATGTATATAAAAAATATTATTGAATTATATATATATGATATGACAATATATCATTAACAATTATATA